TCAAAAGGTTTTGCAACCAATTGTTTCGTGAACAAAGGGAAAACGCATGAATCAAACAAAACAATTTCCTCGTAGAAAGCGAACATCTGAGTAATGCGTATTTGATAATAAGACGACTGACGGATTAATTGCGTAGTAATTTGCGTTGCGACCGCAATTACGGCTCCGGCGTAGCAACTTGATCGCAATTTGATTCTGGGCGTATAAGTAAAACAGGTGACGCCGCTCTAATGAATGAATCGATCTTACTGTGTTTTCGCTCGTATTCACAATTTCCGCCAATGTCATAGGTACGTCTCGTCTTAAATATCTAAGTCAGTCGCTGATTAGATGAGAATCCGAATTTGCCTTGGAAAGATAAACTAGTGTTTTGGCTTGTGCCAGAAGTAAAACAACCCTATATGTAAATGGTTATGTTGTATATAGAATGGTCGTCAATTTGTATATTTTCGATTTTTTTTCCTCCTAGGGGCTTAAATGCTTCCAGATCAATAAAAAAATTATCTGATAGTTTTAGCTCTTAATGTTAACTTTAAGATAGTCCGCACTTCAACCAAAGTTCTGCTTCTTAAGTAATTACTTCTTTTATAAAATATATCAAATTTTTGTCGTAAATTTTTACTTTATAATCAAAATAAGCAAATACAATGTTATTTTTAAAATTTGATTCACTTATCGCTATGTTATAAAATTCTAAAAAACAAGTGATATTTTCCCCATGCTATTTCCATAAGAAACTTTAGTTGGAGTGCGGACTCTCTTAATGTTAATAATAAGAGCTAAAACTTTGAGACTTTTTTTTATCATTTTGAAAGTATTTGAGCCCCCTTAGAGAAAATAATCGAAAATATCTATATCAAGGACCAACCAAATATATACATGTATGTATGTATATACATGTATATACATATATATTGAAGTATGTGAATTTGGTGTTGATGCATATCAACTCTGTTTATTAACTTCCCATAGGGCAAGTTATAATAATCTAAACTAAAAGTCTAAAATGATCATTAGACATATGCACATCAAATTATCAGATATTTTATTGAGATTTTAACAATAAGTATAAATTTCGTTTACATTACTATGGGTTCCGTACTAATGTTCATCCTTTAGGCGGCGACGCGGCGTTTACGCGCTTCGATATTTCGTCTCTATGCAGTTAAAGCAGTACGATTGTTTTGAAAAAGAGTTCAGAATTTTCAGAATATTTCAAAATAATTTTTTCGTCAAAAAGTTTTTTTTTCTTAAAAAAGAAAAATTTATGTCAAAAACTTATAGTTTCTCAAAAATCTAATTTTTTTAGAGTAATTTTTTTAAAAAAATGTTAATCTTTCAAAAAAAAATATTTTTGGTACGGGAAGTTCCAGCAATTTGCCTTAAGGCACGTTGGTATACATTTGATGAGTTATTTTGATTCCGGCAGTAACACCATGTACAAAAAACTAAAGCAGTTGTAAGAAGCTTTATTTAACCATACGATTCGGCCTTCATCGAGACCGTCATTCAAAATATTTTATAAATAATGTAGAAGAAAAATGATATAAAATTATAGAACTACTATAGTTTCTAAACCATTGAAATGAAATTCAAACCATGAAAAAGCTATAAACGTCGGAACTATAAGTTTATCTTTTATAAAAGAATTGCATTATCCGTGAAGAAAACTTTTCAGTAAAAATAATATTAGAGTAGTTTGTACTTTCGAAAATACTCTTTCAACTCTTTTTACAAAATTTAAATCCAAATTTAACCCAAGATTCCTAAATAACCTAGTTTATTTAGCTTAATTATCTAAATTCTATTTGCGTTTATTAGGTGAACAGTCAAAACTTTCACAAAAGAAAATCAGAACATAAAAACAATTCCAAAAACAAGAACCAATATAAAACAATGCTAACAGATCACATTAATAACCTCAAACATAACATAGATTTTTTCAATCCCGCGATCCTACATTTCGAAAATAACTTATTTAAAAGAAGATTTGGCAAAGGATGCCTAATATCATTACACAATGAGACAGTCATAAATAAGAGAACCGACAAAAATTTGCTATGCAATGACTATAAAATAATCCTTGACCATTGTTCAAAACACTATCATATCTGAATGATGCGTGTATTTTATTTTATTATTTTACCAGAAAAATATCGATACCAGTCTTTTTACACTTTCACAAATCTTTATTAAATCAATTAATGCGCGCATGGTAGTATTGAGCTTAACTGTCCTGAAAATAATTATAAAAAATATCTTACGTTGTTTGGAATATATGAGCTTTTAAGTGCAAAGTTTTTTTGGATATTGTGGTTAACTTATATTAATCTTGTTGATTTAAAATTTGTTACCGTAATCGTGAATTACATGTTTAAGACCACAAGCAATAATATGGAAAAAAAAAACCACAATTGTCCCGAGTTTTTAAGAATGAATACACCCTGTACATATATTTATTATTTTAATTACTATCATTTGACCAAAATGATTCCTCTTATCATGACAGAGATAAAACATGAAAAATAACCCTTTTCCAGTTTGATAAACTTGGCAAACATTCAAAAATATTTAGGCAGCAATTGAGTCATGTCGTCCCCGTCGTTATTTTGATGAGCAGCTCTGATCTCCCCTACGATCGTGTATAGCATCGTGTCGTATACGTATACGGAGTAAATTAATGTATACTCCCATCATAATTAAACAATCACATACTCCAGTCATTCTGAATATTCATGAACATTTGACAACGAATGCCCTTAGAATGCGTTATGCAGAACTGTCGCAGAGGGTTGTCTTGTAAGATAACGGACGAGGAGGGCGAGATGGTCTAGTTGGTAATATAATACTGGTATTTACTCGAAGTACTTAGTTTGTTTTATATGCTACCAAATCAGGCCACTATTTATTTTTAGGAATAACTTAAGAATTATCTTTTAAATGGTACGCAAAGTGAAGAAGTGTACAAGTTATCGAACATGAATCTATTATGTACTAGGTAATCTAGTGTGTCGTCTGTGGTTTCTGGATAAAAAACTGAATCAAGTGCTCTTTGCATTAAGATAGTTTTGCAGAGTTTGGAACAAATTTTGTTCAAAGGATGGAATGTCTGAAGTATACGGTGGATGCAAAAAAAAATCTCAACTAAGCTTTCGAAACTTTTGGCAGGTCATCAAATATGTGTGATCTTTCTTTATCATGATGGAAAACAATATCTTCAATTGAAGCCGTTTTCTTTCAATTGTATGGCGCAATCTCTCTGTTCATTAACTTCCCGTAGGGCAAGTTATAGTAATCTAAACTAAAAGTCAAAAATGATCATTAGACATATGCACATCAAATTATCAGATATTTTATTGAGATTTTAACAATAAGTATAAATTTTGATTACATAACTGTGGGTTCCGTACCAATGTTCATCCTTTAGACGGCGACGCGGCGCTTACGCCCTTCGATATTTTGTCTCTATGCAGTTAAAGCAGTACGATTGTTTTAAAAAAAAAATCAGAATTTTCAAAATATTTCATAATAAATTTTTCGTCAAAAAGTTTTTTTTTTCAAAAAAAGACAAATTTATGTCAAAAACTTATAGTTTATCAAAAATCTAATTTTTTCAGAGTAATTTTTTTTAAAAAATGTTAATCTTACAAAACAAATATTTTTGGTACGGGAAGTTCCAGCAATTTGCCTTAAGGCACGATGCCATGCGCCCCACTAGTTTGCTTTCGAGTTATATAAAGAAGATAATAGACTCACTGCAATGGTAAAACTGTATACCATCTCCTTTTCTAGAGTTATACACTCGACTACGTGTTATATCGTGTTGATTATATATATATATATATATATATATATATATATATATATATATATATACAAAATCAAATTTTGAACATCAAAGAGAACTTAACAGTTTTAACAATAACAGCTATTATTAAAAACCTTTTCCTTAATAAAATCATTGACCTACCTATGCCGATTTTTTACATTAAAAGTAAATAAACGAAACTGGACCAAGTGGTTTAGAAAGAAGGAACTTATCAATTTTTTGAACTTGTTTGACAATTTGCCCAAAGAGATTTGGCACACTGGATTATTTAAATTTAGTTGTTTTACTGACGTACAAGACACTTTGATGATGATTTTTTTCAGGTTTGAATTTTAAATTATAGTAGTATGCTGCAACCACGAAAACAAATGTGTGCTATCAAAATTTTTGTATAAAAATCTTCCAAATTTCTTTTTTCCAAATTCACAGTTTTAAATACCAAAGAACAAAGTAAAGGTAAGTAAAATTCATTATAAAAATATTGTATTTTCACATAATGTATTTGCAAATTTATTATCAATTTTTTTTTGTAGTTTTCAATTTTATGCCAATGACAAATGTCATTTATCTTCTACAAAGCTTTTTTTATTTGAATGATAAAGCCTTTGATTTTAAGTTAATGATACATCGAACTGTCATGTATTTCGACTTGACTTAATTTAGTTAAAATATTTAATAGATTTTTTTTATTACAACTTGACATGGATGCTTTTAGATTTGTATGTGTGTATTTGTTAATTTATCAGATATTAGTTTTCTAGTGTAATTTCTTTCTACATGGTTTTATTGTTAATCATATTAATAAAATATTTATTGAAATTTATTTAAAATAATGGAATTTCGTTGTATTACAATTTTTCAGTTTAAGTTATGATAATTGTGGAATTTATGTTAAATGTTTATGTGAATAATAATACAACCGTTCATGCAGAAGGATAAAAACAGACTGACTAATTATATATTCTTTAACTAAACACATGCATTACAAATATTATTAACATTCATAGATAACATAAGTGTAGATTGACACAAAGCAAAAGAGAAACATATAAACATAAACATAGAGTAGACATAGAGTGTTTAGTATCAAACTTCAACAATAATGAGATAAAATAGAATTTGTTAGTATCTCATACGCTACTATTAACATTATTTTAGCAGTTCAGGCACCATGGTATCGAGGCGCACAAGAAAGAAGGCGAAATCACGGTCGATAAGTTCGACTACCCTTTCTGAAGTCTTGTTTCAAGAGGCAAAAAAGGTAATTGAAAAATAAAAATAATATATACTATTAAAAAAAAAGTATCAATACAACTGAAATAACATCATAAAAACGAATATATGAATGTAGTATGGTTGGAATTACAAAGACTTTGTAATTTAAAATGAAATCAATGAATAACGAAAACTAAATATAGATTTCAGTTACCACTTCCATAAGTTTTAACTTAAAATTATAGATAGCAAAATATTTTTAGTAAAAATAGCCCTTATCTGAAAAAGTTTAAAAGTAATAAGTAAGTAATATTGAAAATTCACAAAAAATCGGATAATTGTTTGGGTTGTCATCTATAAAAGTTCTTAAAAGTCAAAATTGATTACAACTCATATTACCTCTAGTATAATATAAATATATATATATATATATATATATATAATTAATACTATTATTATTATTTATATTATTGTTATTTTTGCAGAAACGGGCAGCACGCAAAGGAATCCACAAACGGTACCGTCTATCACCCTCATTGGCCAAACTAATTGGCAGCGACGAACCCGAAACACGCTACAACGTAGTCAAGCTAATATGGATACAAATCAAGGAAAGAAAACTCCAAGATCCCGAAGACCCAGCCTATATCGATTGTGATGCTGAATTTGAGGATGTGACCGGGATGGTGCGCCTTAAAGGCTTTACCATAATAAAGCACCTCAACCACCACTTTTTAGAATAAATCAAACCAGCATCACATGTTCAGTCTTATGACAACTAGTGTTAGAACGAAATATCGAGTGCTGAGTAAATATCTACACTATGCTGTCAATTGTGAGTACTTTTGCTATTGATATTTTAGCTTGATATATTTGTTGATATTCATAATTTCACAAACTTTTGGCAGTACTCAAAAAGTATCAAAAGTATAATCGATGAACACTTCTCACCGACTCATTACATATGCAACCAAATCCAATAGTCTCCATGGATGGTCATACTGTTCGAAGAAGCATCACAAACCGATCACGAAGGGTCATCAGTCCGAAATGTATTGCTTAAAAACCCCAAATGAATAGGATCCCACTAATAAATAAAGATGTACCAAATGTTCATGGACTAAATGTTTTATATAAAAATGTATTAAATAAAATTGCAATACTATATTGTATTACATTAAAAAGAATCGAAGTATAATTATTTCAAATAATAATACTCAACAATTTTAATACATGAGTATTTGACGCAAAAAAGAATAGAATTATAATTATTTCAAACAATAATACTCAACCATTTCAATACATAAGTATTTAATGTAAAAGAAAATCGAAACATAATTATCTTATATATAAAAATGGATCGCAAAATGTGTTGGTAAGCGCATAACTCAACAACGCCTGGACCAATTTGGCCAATTCTTTTTTTAAAATGTTCGTTGAAGTCCAAGGATGGTTGTTACGGCGAGAAAAAAAAAGAATTATTGCCGGGAAAACCCTAAAAACAGCCCTTTTCTTCTTTGGTCGAGTAGGCAACGCAATTTGTAAAAAAAAAAACAATGATCTATGTCATGACATTTTGTGTAGTTTTTGATAATATAATTTTGAATATATTTATATAAACATAGAAATAGCTTTCTATTAATTAACGAGCTATATTGGCAGCCAAAAACATTGATGTAAATTAATTAAATTTCAAAATTCAAGAACAAATTACAGGCGAAACAGTTTATTCGGCAACTAACCAAGACAATCGGAGTTTTTAAACTCGCCGGATTTGCTAGGATTGTCACCTCATAATCTTCAATTAAAGGTTGGATCGGCAATTATAATGTAGCGAAATATCGACCAGCTATATTCAAAGGATAGTATAAAGCAGAAGATGTTCTTGCGTGCGTTTATGGTATCATTAAGTGTTTGTGGTATTAATTTAGAAAACCCATGTTTCTCACATGGAAAATTGTATGTTGTTTGTTCCCGTATTGGAAAACAGATCAGATTTGTTTGTCTATGCGCCAGGTAATCAAACAAAAAACATCGTTAATCACAAAGCACTACAATGAAAATTGAACTGATTTTTGAATTATGATTTACATTATTAAAATTACTTACTTTTAAATGCTTATATTGTTTTATTTAATTATTTTTAATTCACACCGAATTAATACCAGGGTGACGGTTCTGTTCAGGATAATTTTTTGCAAAGAATAGAAAAAAGGTAGGCACAAAACACCGCCACATTACAATTTTTTTTGACAGGACGAAGTCTGTCGGGCCGGCTAGTTTGAAATAAAAATACTGAACAATTTCAATACATGAGTATTTTACGTAAAAATGAATCGAAATATGATTATTTCAAATAATAATAATTAACAATTGCAACATTAGTAATATTTATATTTCTATTATTTTTCATGTGAAATACTCATGTATTGATATTTTTGAGTATTAATATGCCAACTAGGGTTGATCGGTTTTCAAAAACCGTTTTTTTGACGAAAGTTATGAAATTCGAAAACCGGGTTTTTAGCGGAAAACGTCGGTTTTTTCTGTACAAATGGAAAATGTCAAATATACTAGATGGTAGCAAGCGTTTTGATACTTGGAATCTTAACGGTTCGATAAAATTTGGAATTATATCAGTCTGTTATAGTTCCCAAAAGGTTGCCCGTTATATTTTGTCTAATGTATATACAAATGTAGACTATTACATCAATGTGTATATTAACCCTTTCGACTCGGATGCCGCCGCTCCGGCGGCATAGTCATTTTGCCGTTGCGCTCGGATGTCGCCGCTCCGGCGGCATAATATGTTTTACCGTTCCGCTCGTATGCCGCCGCTGCGGCGGCAAATCATGTCGTCGCGGGCTAAACTTACAACATTTAATTTTTTTCATATTTATAAATTAATTTACTACTACATTCATTTATTGATTAATTTATTAATTTTATAAATAAATATATAACAAAATTAATTTATTAGCTCGGGATCCCCATAATTATTTGAGATATAAATTTTACTAGAGATGTTATTATATATATATATATATATATATATATATATATATTAAATTCAATGATAATGGTAATAATTTTGGTAATATGTTGAATTTAATTTTTGTTTCCTTGTCTATGAACATTTATTATTTTGTAAGCCATTATATCATATATTTTAATATACGCAGTACCCTTTTTTATTTATTTTTCTCAGAATGTAACTTTCACTAATTTTTGTAATTAATTCTAATAATTTTTTTATAATTTTTATAATTTTTTAAACAATATAGCATGGTTTTGAGCACATTTTTTTGTTAATTTTTAAACATTTCTATTTTATTATCATAATAACTATATTAGCATTATTATCACATTGTAACTTACCTCAAGGCAAAATACCAATACCAACTTTACAGTTTACAGTAGGATTGATAACTGTCTGACCAACTAAAAGTAGCTCACGATTGACGATTATTTTCCAGTCCCACCACAAACACAGCTTCACCTTTTTCAGTGTCATTCCTGACTTGTAAACGTTTGTCGTCGCTCACCACCACTAATGTATGATTCATTTCGCCTCCGATTGTCGTATATAATCTACTTTTTCTTACCAGTTATGAAAAAAATCAGAAAGGTTCGATTTCATTGCAATTCAGCTGCTCATCGCAGACGTTGAGTCGTTCTATCAAGTTCTTCCCGCCCAACTTATTATGAGAGTCCCACGCATCGAACTTCCTTTTCTACTTAGTTTTATGTAATTGGTTTAAAACAGTTTTCTGATTTATGGTTAGTTCCTTCCTAATGTCTGCAGAACTGATTTACTTACCTTGCTCTTCTTTTTAAGGATTTCATCAACGTTTTCAGTGATTCACATCAAAATTATCAGAACGAAAGCGAGCGAATCATCTCCAAGCAGCAGATTTTGATAAAGTACCTGCACCTTGTACAGCATACATTTTTTCAGTAGTCTGGGGAGCGTTCTTCCCTTCATCATAATAATATTGCAAAATACAGCAATTTTTTTCATTAGTTTTCTCCATTTTCGAATACAAAGAACTTTTCAACCACTTGACCGATTTCCTTGACTGTACTATGAAAATAAGTGTCGTAGTGTCACCTTTCTAATAAAGATTTACTGGTGCCGCTGCGATCTGCACTTTCTGAATTATTGGTAAATAAAGCCGCCTATCGCCGAAAAAGAAACGAACTTTTTACTTTACCCACAATATTAAAAAAATTTTTTTCAAAACGGTCAATTTCTTTCAATAATTTTAAAAATCTCAAAATTAGATTTTTTTCAGAGTTCTAAAGGAAAATTGATTATTTTAAAAAAAACTAAAATTTTTGGTACGGAAAGTTCTAGCATGTTGCCTTAAGGCATGATGCCATGCACCACTAGTTATCTTTATTTTCTAATATGTTGTTAAAAAGTTCTTAATTTCACTTATTTTGAGATATCGGGATGGACCTTTTTACCTGCGGACCTTTAAGCCCTGCTCTACCCTATATATACACGTTAGTATAATTAAATACATGTGCATGCAATCATTTTTCTATATCATCCCGCCCGTGTTTTCTCGTAAAACACGTAATGGCGTTTGCGCTAAAATTAATTTCTTGTGCATATTTAATTATGACAATTGACGTTTTCCTTTTTGGCAATTCCATTTCAATTATTCGCGCGCATTGTGCCCGCGGGGCTTTCCTTGACGTTCATTGTTCTGCCCGATATCATTTTTCACATTGTTTTACAGCGATGAGGGTCGATTTTGCACCGAGTTCAAATGAATAAAGAAACAGACCCCCGTTTGAGTATAAATAGATGTTCGCCGAACACAATACGAACATATAGTGCAGAGAGAATGAATAAATTCGACACTTCATTCAGACTTAAATACCCTCATTTATTGTACTTTCTAATTAAACTGTTCTAAATTACAAACATTAGCCTTTCGAAATCATCGACATTGAAAGAATCAGGTAAACAAGAATGATCACATTTTTCCTACGATTAAATTAATTGACTCGCTTTATTATTTTGTGACTCATTTTATCTGTAATAATTATACATAAAAAATACATTTATAAAACGACTCGTCTGACAGGGATACTAAAAATACATTCGTGTCTTTTGGCTTGCGCTGATTTTTAATGTGTTGATTCATTAATAGTAGATACTTACTAATAGTAAATAGATTACATGAGATGCAAGTTTATTCATTAATCTCAGTATTATTTATATATTTAAATGCTCGAGTAGAAACTCACGGTTAGTTCAAATTTCTAAAGACTAGGGGAGACTGGGTACGGCCACTTTATTAGCAAATAATTTTGCTAATACTGGTATATTAGCTGAAAAAAAAGTAAATTCAATGGTAATTTGAACATTTGTCTACGTGGAAATACTGCAATATTGTCCTTAAATATGATGATTTAGTCATAAAATCAAATAATACAAGAAAGGCGAAAGGCGAGTGTCACAATTCTGGAGTGTCCTGACCCTCCAGGAACGTCACAGGCTTAAAATAGGTTAAAAACAATAGAGCTATAAACACCAAAATAACTTGTCAGAAAGAACTGTTATTGTCAGAAATATGTAACACAACACAACATAATTATTTAATCGAATGTCATGAATTTAAAAATAATAAAAATAAAAAATAAAATAATATAAATATAATAATATATAACAGAGCATATTTTGTCAAACAAAGTTAATAAGAAATCTTTGGGAAATTTTATTTTACAT